GAAAGACAGTTGTGATCACACTGCTAACTGCAAGAATATCTGTTAAGGAAGGGGTTCAGATGTTGTTATGGGTATAATAATGTTCACAAAGTGAAATTAGTTACAATTTAAAAGCTGATCTAATTGTGCATCCTTACTAATCATTATTTTTTAGCCAAGAGTTGTCCCATTTTCTTCAAGCATTCATATTTTTGTCTTTTAAAATGCAGACTTGCAAAAAAAAATTTAACTGAGCCTCAATATTTACCCAGTTCTGGGTCAAAGGTGAGGGAACCTTTCCATCCTTTACACCACCACAAACAAAACAAACAAAGAGAATAAAGAATCTAATGTCTCATTTTTATATAGTCCATTATTAGCTGCACAGCTGGATACAAACCTGAAATCAAAGCGAAATGAGCAGGAGGCCTTTCCACAGAGGAAACCCTCCTGAATGGGTCTCTATGAGAAGCTTTGTTGAGGTTGCATTGCAGGTGTGATAATCATCAGAACACAGAGCTTAATTGGGGGTGACTAACAGAGAAGTTGTTTCACAGTGTAATTCAGTCAAAGCATGCAAATGCATTACACAGCGGTCAACTTGTATTTTCTCCACTGAAGGTAATTAAGCTGAGTGGAAAGGTCAAGGTGCAATTGTTGTCGAGCGCTGTTGTGTTTAGTTCTATGAGTCTAATCTCTGTACTGCTATGCAATGTTCCTGAGGGATGGTGATGATGGCGACTGGTGGATAGATGAACATCAAGTCATGCACGTCTAAGCCACTGTACACATGCCTCAGCTGATACTCTATATATGTTATACTCAAGTCCTATGGAGGATACTGCTGTGCTATACACCGATTTTGTAGAATATTGAACATTCTGTTCTTCGTGTTATCTTACACACCTCTCACAGTATACTCCTAAATCGGGAGTCTTGGCTCAGAGCTGTCACGGGATGCAGGTTTGGGCTTTTAGAGGGAGCCTGGCTGAAGTGAGACTCTGCTGGCAGAGGTGAGTGGTGCTGTGTGTGATCACTGAGGGAGCCTTACAGCTGTTTGGTGCCTTGCTGGCGTGCCTGTGTTGTTGAGCATCAGCAGGGTACAGACCAGGGCTTTTCCCCTGCACGGCATGAAATGGCTGCACTGTGACAAGCAGAAGCCCAGTCGGCTCGCTGTCTTCCTCTGCCAGTAGAGACTCAAAGCAGGTCAGCTGTGGGTTAATGCCACAGATTGTATGCACACACACACACACACACACACACACACACACACACACACACACACACACACACACA